TTTCCTTATTTTTCTCTTCAAATATATTCTCCTTTCCTCCAAGTAAATATATTCTTCTTTCCTCCAAGTAAATATATCTTTTCTTTTTCTAGCCCAATCCACGCTTGTGAATATCAATACACGAGCTCCTCTTCACAAATCACACAACTCAGCTTCTATATCACTTCTTGTAGTAGTCTGTGTAGTACAGTCGACTAGTACAGGAAAAACTCCAAGTTACTCCTCTCACATTATACCCGATGCGATGCTTATATATTTATGTTTGGTTCGGTTATGACCCTGGTGAAAAATATTTTTGGATTCGACAGTGTAAACAAGTGGAAATATTGTTGAGATTTCAACAAATAAAACAAAGACAAAAGTTTCACCGGAAAGTAATTAAGAACAACTGCGGAGAAAGGAAAAGATAAGAATAGAGATTACTTTTAAATATCACAAAAGTTGTTTTTCCTTTCACACATTTTACATGTTTGCTACTCTACAGTACAATATACACACAAAAAAAATGGGATCCAGATCTTACTACGATCGTGTGACACCTGTCCTTGTCGTACAACATTTTGTGTGACCTCCAAGACCATAATTCTCCATTTTTGTCTTCTTCTATAACAACCTCCTCAGCTCTCAACGTGATCTTCTGATTTGAGTATCCTCACACGCGTGTTCCTTGTCATTTGAGCTTGATACAGTTTCAATGGGCCTTAATATTTGTGCTGGGCCTGATATCTCTTCCTTCAACACTCTGTTGTCTTGAGTGTGTTTACACTTTCAAATATGACCCATAATAATGAGTAGCCGCTAAAATGTAGTGTATGATCAAAGTGGTTTGTATGTACTGTATATGCTAAACCTAAATGGTTACGTAGTGAAAATAATGAAATAAATTAGGGTCAATAAGGTATACATTTAAATTTTAACATAGTTTCATTAAGAGAAAAAAAACTTGTTTGGAACGAGGGACACTTTTTTTTTTATCAGGAGATGATAAAACGTGCAAGTCGTTTATGCGCAGCACAGTACTGTAGAAGGCTTAATACAGTAGGCCCAAGTGATTTGGGCTGTGAATAATCTCGAATTTGTGTTACAACTCATTTGGCATGCATATACTCATCATGTTCCTTCTAGTCTCATGTTCAGAGGGGAGTTCTTGGCTGGATCCTATTGTCCTCACCTGATATCGACAACAAGAGCCATTGCAAACAATGAATTTAGACTGACCAATCAATAACTATCGCAAAAGATGTGAAGATTGTTTTGTTGTAGACATCATGACTTTTCTCTGAACCAACAAATCTTTTGGCAAGAAGAGAAACTCGTTTGAGTACTAGCTAGCTAGAGTTCCAACTTGAGAGTGAATCAGGTCCGAATCCAGATCATAAGCCTTATTAAAATGCCCATAAGAAAAAAAATTCAGAGTTCACCTATTTACCATCCAAATCAAGCATAATTCATTTCATGATAAAGTGAACAAAACTACACCTTTGGCAATGACATGGATCATGAACTATCCTAAGTCTCTCCTCCGCCTCCTTGTTCATCCTCCTGAAACTCTTTCAGAACATTGAGAATCCGAGCTTCCATTTTCCTCACACGAGCAAGCAACCGATTACACGATCTCAAGTAACCCTTTACCTTCTCCTTTTCGCATTCATCTATATAAACCTCCAAATCCCTCAGGATCTCCATCAGCTCATCAACCACATGCGAGTACTCCATGACCCGACCCGGATCTCTCTCCACCACCTCCTCCAATTCCTTCTTCGCAGTTTCTAACCACTCGGCCGATAAACGAATCCGAGCTTTCAACGATTCGTAGTTATCCGAATCATACAAATCAATCAGTTTCAAGACCGTACCTGGCTTGATTCTGTAAAAGTGAAGTGATTTCACATAACCCGGCTTGTTCTGCAAAGGAAGCTCTTTGATCGTACCTTCTTCTTCCTCCAATTCGAGCGGCGGCGAATCCATAGGAGCGACGATGATTGGAGGATTTTGGTGGAGACGAACGAAGAACCAGGCGGAAGCAGCGAGTGCGATGGTGGGGATGATCAAGTGGCCGAATTGGGGTTGCTTATTAGAAGGAGGATCAGTGGGTGAAATGGAAGGCGAAGAAGATGTGGGAGAAGTGATGGCGAAGAGAGAAATAGGGTTTTGAAGGTTTGAAGGTCTGTAATGGTGAAAAGGGAGGTTGTGATGCATCTGGTGACAATACGCCTTTGCAAGGCTCCCCATGTTATTTCGACAGATTAAGACGAAGAAGAACCCTAAACCCCCAATTTCATCGATTTACAGATTTCGTTTGCGGAGTCTTCTTTTCTTCCAGGTTCAAAGGCGACTTCCATTTTTCTTTTCTTTGGAAGAAAAATGTTTTCTTATTAATGGGCTCGTTAAGCCCAATGACAATTGTTAACACACGCACGACATAGACCTTTATATAAAGCCCATTATTATCTGGCAATTAACATTTTATTAAACTTAATTATGACTTGTCGGTGAATTTTCCAAAAATCTACAAATTTCTCTTATTTAATAAGCTTTATTATAAGTAACAACAACAATCGCTTTCTTCTCAGAACTACGCCGCTTTTTGTTACGGTATTTCCCAAAGTTATTCCATTTGTAAATTTTTCATTAAACCATATCTGATTCAACAAATACACTATGTGGTTGATACGGTGGTAGTGAAAGAATATGGTCTTAACAACCCTTTTGCACTCAAAATCACTAATGGTGTTGACAAAAATGACCAACGGTTATTAATATCATTTTTGGTTACTTACAAATTATACAAGATCAACTAAGCTACGTGGAAAAGAAAGAAAAAAAAGTAATGAAAGTGTTATGTGGGTCGTGACATATTTGTTTAGATGCACGTATAATTTGTTTTCAAGACTAGTAATTTGACATGAGCTTTGAAATTAAGTTAGCCTCTTAAATTTTATGATATGTTTCGTTGATTACATAGTGTATTGATGATGGACAATTAATCTCCCATCATTTCTCCCAATATATTTTATTATCCTCCTAATTAAGAAGACTTAACTGATTTATTTCCTAAATAAGGAAAGAAATATAATTAATACTAGATAGATGGCGTGAATCGGTAATTCCCTAAAACAGCCTCTTTG